TGGCGGGGGAGCTGCTCGTAGCTTGGGGCGAGGTGGCGCCAAAGATGTCGTCGATCGAGTATTCAAAGATGGAGCTGGCTTTCCAAAGCAGGCTGAGACAACAGACGTAAAAACGGTAGCTGCTCGAGCGAAGACAGGTGTCGTTGGCGTTGCGGAAGGAGCCAAGCGGCGAGCAATGGACCGTCTTAGGGAGATGGTCGATACAAGTGGCGACTGCGACCGTATTGTGTCAGGTAAGCCAATATTCTTACATCACAACAATAGGTTCTAACACCTTCTAGATTGCTTCACTGTATACCCTGAGAAGCCTTTCCAGGATGACACACTGCTTAGCAAACCCACCGCAGCCTACGAATGGCTCCACTTCCACGACACCCTCTCCTCCGCCGTTCACAGCTCGCAGGAATGGGAGCTTTTCCCTTACCTTTCGCAATCCGTCCTCGCCTTCCACGACCTATTCGCTTCGCCGCGCCGCGAAGCGTCGAACCCTTCGGCCGACCCTGCTGCCCAGATTCTACCTTTCACCGGGCCAGGTGCCAGCTTTGCAGCAGCTGAGACACACAAGGCCAGTCGATCGCAATTGATGAGTCTGCAGTCGACGTTGAGTTTATCTCTGACAAGACTGTTCAGAAGTCCAGAGGAGATGGCCACAGAACTAATACCCTACACGCTCCGCATGCTGTCACCAGATGTCAAGCCTGTGATCGTCAATACCGGTCCAGCTGGGTCGAAGTCGAGCGCAACAGCTGCAGTACGCAAGTCATCGGAGAAAGCGCTCGTGAAGAAGGCAGTCGAAGCTATGGCAGCGACGGGCATCCGCTTCGAGCGCAGCAGAATCGAGACAGAGGACGCAATGAATCGCAGCGCCGGCTTCGTGTTCCGCATGGAGCCTCCTCTGGACACGCTTGCTTCCTTCGAGACACTAGCAGGCAAGAAGGACGACAAGGTACGCTATGCAGTCCGCAGCGTGTTGGAGATGGTGTGGAAGAAAGAGTCTGCGCGCATCGATATGGAAAATAGGAAGCGTCGAGGTGGGCAGGAGTACGAAGAAGTCGAGGTCCAGGAAGAGACTGAGGAAGATGTTGCGAAGAAGCTGGATGAAGCCAATCAAAAGGCAGTCAAGCGTGACTTCTTCGGTAGGATCATCAAAGACAAGCCGCTCGTTGAAGGTGAAGTGAAGAAGAAGACGAAACAGGAGGGCGATGAAGATCGCATTTGGGTGAGTTTCCATGAAGGGTACAGCAACGCGGTGAGAAAACCGATCACGATTGATGAGCTGTTCCGAGGGCTCTAGGCTGCAGACTCGAATCAGTCTGTTCCAATAAATTCAATAATCTCACCCTCGACGTTCACAAAACAGCAGTTCGTATGATGCCAGGTATAGGAGATCTTCATTGTGGGATGTGACCAGGGTCTGCTTTCACACAAGGCTTACTCAAGATGAGGCCGGCGGCTAGAAGTCGGAATGGGTAAGGATCTCGAGTTTTTGAACACCTGCAGATCCACAAGATCCACTTCACAACCCTCACCGGATGTCAGATGCAGAGCACCTGCTAATAAGTACTTAGATAACTCAACATCTTCTACGAGTACAGCAGAGAGACCCAAAAGACCTTCAAAGGCCTCCAGCGCTCGTGCTCGACCTTCTCGCCAGAGGAGCGACGTGTTGAGGTCTCCAGAAGCCTGGAACCTGAGCGGCACGATAGCCGCGCATCAGTGCAGAGCCGAAGAACGCCCATATGCAGTGCAATCGACGCGCATAATCTTGGGTAAGATCTTCAGACCCTCACAGTTACACATTGCCGAGCCACAAGGCCTTCTATGGTCTGTCGGATAAGGGGAAGTATCGACTCGAGGTCTCAAGTTGTGAGGAGTCTACTAAAACTTTCGCAACCACAAATTGGACGTGGCACCTTCACCACAGCAGCTAGGCTGGGTGCTTTGAGCCACTAACCTGGCCATGTGCACGTCCTCGCGGAAAGAGACCGTCGCGGGGCCCCAAACACCAAACTACAACCAGCTAGATCTGAGCACCACGATAGCCGCAATGCGGGGGAAACTCGAGCCTTATGGCAACTCGGCGAACTTGTATTGGTAGATCACCACGCGACGAGCAAGTATCGCCATCCTGAAGGAAGCCAGATGTTTTGGTGTTGTGCTAATTGTCCGCCCTATTTGGCCGATTCGACTGAGCGGCTGCGGCTGACGTACCGCTGGCTTGGGTGGCTTCCTGCAGGCAACCTGTCAGTAATTTGAAGGTCCCCAGGCTATGTGGAGACTCGTAGCGGCGCGAATACTTAAGATGGCATGCTCCCAGCTGTTGTGTACACCCTCAAAGCGCGCCTAGCCCTCCAATTTACACGACATCAGAGTCAAGGTATCACAATGGGCATCCAGAACAAGTTAGCCGACGGTATCGATGAAGTAGACATTATCATCGCTGGTGGTACGTGATGTGACCTCGAAATGCAGCAATGTAATCATACACTTACCGAGTATCTCAGGTGGCACAGCAGGTTGCATTATTGCTGGACGACTGGCGGAAGCACACCCTGATCTCTCTGTCCTGGTGATCGAAGGCGGCGCGAACAACAAAGATGTTGCAAGCATCGTATATCCAGCCTTCTATCTGCAGAACCTTCTGCCCACACAGAAGACGGCACTGTTCTACAAGGGCAACAAGTCGAAGCAGCTTGCAGATCGCGAGCCAATCGTACCATGCGGAGGCACTCTCGGTGGCGGCTCGTCCATCAACTTCATGATGTACACAAGAGCCCAACGTGAGGACTTTGACTCATGGAAGACCGAAGGCTGGTCAGCTGATGAAATGCTCGAGCAAATGAAGAAGCTGGAGACCTACCACGGGCCTGGCGATAAGGCGCACCACGGCTACGATGGCCCAATTAATGTCTCGGATGGTGGCTACCGAGGAAAGTCTGCCGAGAACGAGTTCATCAGAGCGGCAGGAGAGGTCGGGTACCCTGAGATTGAGGATCTGCAGAACTTGGACACAAACAATGGCATCCAAAGATGGCAGCGTTACGTCTCGCCCGAAGGACGGCGACAAGACACCGCCCACAGGTTTCTCCACCCTAAGTTGGAGGATGGTCAACATGATAACTTACATGTCCTTGTCGAATCCAAGGTCGTGCGTGTGATCTTCGACGAAAACAAGAAGGCGGTCGGAGTCGAGTACACACCCAACCCCGAGTTCCAGGCTGTCATTGGGCTCACTGCACACCCAGTGCAGACTATCAAGGCACGCAAGCTCGTCGTTGTGACGTGCGGTGCCTGTGGTACACCTCCAGTCCTTGAGCGCTCAGGTCTCGGCGATAAGTCGATCCTTGAGAAGGCTGGTGTTCCAATCGTCGAGGAGCTACCTGGTGTGGGCAAGGACTACCAGGATCACCACCTTCTGCTCTACCCGTACAGGACAAATCTTGAGCCAGATCAGACCCTCGATGGCATCCTCAGCGGACGCATGGATGCGACAGAGATGATCAAGAACAACGACAAGATGCTCGGCTGGAACGCCATCGACATCTCGTCGAAGCTCCGCCCGACCGAGGAGGAAGTCGATGCACTTGGACCTGAATTCAGGGCGGCGTGGGATCGTGACTTCAAAGATACGCCAAACAGACCACTGATGCTGTGCGGTCTCGTCTCATGGTAAGTACTGTCAACCGCGACTTCCCTCTTCGCGAAACTGACATTCTACAGCTTCCTCGGTGACCCATCTTCAGTACCTGAGGGCCAATATGCCACCACTGGCACTTACACAGCATACCCATACTCGCGTGGTCACATGCACATCACCGGCAAGAACGTCGATGACCCTCTCGACTTCGATGTTGGCTACTTCAACGACAAGGACGATATCGACATGAAGAAGCAACTATGGGCGTACAAGATGCAGCGTGAGATCCTGCGACGCACAAACTTCTACCGCGGCGAGCTGGCCGCTGGCCACCCCAAGTTCCCTGAAGGCTCAAAGGTTGCCTGCACCGAGATCGAGGAGCCATTATCGAACGTGCAGAACCTTGTCTACTCGCAAGAGGACGATGCTGCCATTGAGCAATGGCTGCGCGAGAACGTCAACACCACATGGCACTCGCTAGGCACATGCAAGATGGCGCCGAGGGAGCAAGATGGTGTCGTCGATGCCAGGCTGAATGTGCACGGTGTGTCCGGCCTGAAGATTGCGGATCTGAGTATCCCGCCGGAGAACGTGGGTGCGAACACCAACAACACTGCGCTAGTGATCGGCGAGAAGGCGGCGGAGATTATTCTTGCTGAGCTGAGCTCCGCTGGCACTCCATGAGCGTTTGTGATCATCCATGGATCTCATCTTCGACCTAGCGTACGTATGAGTTTTCAGGGAATCGATTTTTCAACTTTCCAACATTTCTGCACATTCAATATGCTGCTATGCAAGTAACATATTTGATGCAAGAACACATGACACTGAGCTCCTTCAAAGTCGAGCTGACTACACGTGAATCTTTGCCACTGCAAGATGGAGTACCGCAGAGCAGTTAGTTGGCAAATTGCAAGTTTAAATTAAATAGACCTGTAGCAGCACCTCCAACCTTACAGATTAGCGTCTTTTGTGCCCATACCCCAGGACTTTCGGTGATAATCAGTATTACCTCCGATGCTTCTTGAAACCTGATAAATCTTGTGGTGGCTGCAACCTTTTTTGCGGCTGTAGCTGCGACCATGAAATTTTCGAGACTCTCAGGTGTCTTCTTCAGCGTTTGATTTGCCGTATTTGCCATCTAGCAACGACTGCCTCTTCTAACTTTCCGATTCGAGCGCCACGTGCGAGCGCCTGCCATGCTTGTAGTCATGTCACTGCTTTACCTCATGCCGCGCATTCACCGCTCGACCGCTGCTTATTTTCAGTCTATGCACACTGTGACATCGCTGCCACAGGAAAGCACAAGGAAGGTCCTGTTCATGATTTTTGCAACCGGCAAGGCGTCCATCAAACATACAAAGGGCTCGTGGTCTAATTGGGAAGACGTCCGAAGTCGACACCGTCCAGTTCACTGGTGGTGCAATGGTCTTCACCGGTGCAAAAGCTGACGGTTCGGAAGATGTGAGTTCGACTCGCGCCGGGTCCAATCTCTTTGTTCCTGTCTGGGCCGTTTGTTTGTTGTTGTGGTAAACCCGCACCGCACCGCTTTGCTTTTTGGCTCTTGTGCTTCACCCCACAAGTGCACGTCTGCTTCCAATCTTTTGAGTAAGCAAGGCAACGAGCAGAGGATTGGGGACTTACATTTGATGTATTGGCGCCAGTCCTTGAAGGGTACATTCTGGACACCTTGGGATCGCTGGTGCGTAAAGCTAAATTCCCGCATTACCTGATGACCATGACGATCTGCGCCACCCTCAGCGTCGATGGCGATGATGTGCCATTCGAAGGCGAACGAGAATGGCAGAGGCACCCCCATGTGGCCTCAAGGTCTTGGTCTTGTTCATTGGCATACTCCATTGTGCAGCCAACGCTGTTGATGAGAGTGACCAAAGTGTCAGTGACTGAAAGGTGTGCTCCAAGCATCTCGTACTTCTCTTTGCGTTGACGGTGGTTCCTAGGCCCTTTGCAGACCTAGCCCATCTCAGGGAAGGGCAATTCAGCTCTGAAATATCTGTCAGCGATAGCAGAGACACCGTGTCCTAACAAATCGTCCTCAGGATAGTTGATCATTGCCGCATATACATGCCATTCGAATTGAAACTCAAATGACTTGCTCTCCCAGCTGCATGATGAGCGCCGTGTAATTGTATTCATCAGAGGATCCATACGCTCCCAAACGATGCTCAGAGGATTACTCAATATCTCCAATCTCCTAACTTGACAGGTTCCACAAACCTGTGCGTCGCACCTGAGCAATTTAACAGACCGCATCTGCGTGCTAGATAGCCAAGATAGATCTAGGCACGGGGTAAGAATAACAAGATGGAAGCGCAAATTTGGTCTCGCAATCCCAGAGATACGGGAGGTGCTCAGTATTTACATGCGAGCACCTTGCGCAGTGACAGACGCCCTGTAGGCTGCAATGATTTGGGCAGTGTGGCGAGTCCTAGTGAGGTTTGGAGAATTCGCTGTAATTTTTGAGATGAACTAGACTCTTGTAAGATATTCAGCACGAGGACCAACATCGGCTCAAGGTGGCTCTCTCAGTGTAGGAGGAAGCACGACATGTTGAGATCTGACCCCCAAAACAGGGTGGGGCTGCTACGCTCGATGCGGCTTAGACTAGATGCGTCCACCTGCCAGGTTGTCCGCGTTGTCATCTCTCACAACGAACAACAGAGCGCACTTGCTCTGTAGCAAATGGCATAGCCCCTTATGCGAGAGGGACTTTACGATAGGCGAAAGGCGCCATGCGACATTCGGCATTCGGCAATGGCAGTAAGCACAGCCACGCCAGGCTGAAGGCTGAAGGCTGAAGGCTGAAGGCTGACGTTTCGTCAGGCGTCCAGCCACCCTCTTGATGCGTCTGCCTTGGCCGCTTCAGCTCCGGCATGCTTAGCTCGTTATAACCCCATCGCTTCAACACTGCAGCTCTCTTATCCTGTTCGTGTTGTTATCATCCAAACATGTCGCATTCATTTGGCCCCGAGCATCCTTACAAAACAGCCATAGCAACCGACAAGATCTTCGGCTGCATCATCGGCTCTGCCCTGGGCGACACAATCGGCCTGTACACCGAGTTCTTATCCAAGATCCAAAGCCATAGGCGGTATGGAGACAGGGGATTTACGCTCTTGGAACCACGAACAGAGCCGTTTCCAGACGCGCATCGTCTTCAATTCGAGCCATGCGGTTGGACAGACGACACCGACCAGGCGCTGTTGATACAACTTGCTTTCTTGGATAACCGAACGAAAGGTACTGAATTCAACTTGGCACAAGACTTTGCGGAGCGTCTGAAGATCTGGGTAGACAGGGGTCTGCCAGCACTCGATCGTCCTGCATTCGATATTGGCATCAACGTTGGAGCTGTCGCAGGAAGTGCGCACTTTCTGTGCGACCCTTTGAAGTGTGCTACTGAAAGCTGGCTCAACGGAGGGCGTAAGGCGGCCCCTAATGGAAGCTTGATGCGCACGCATCCCATCGGCATCATTGGCGTCAACCTGACGGAAGAACAGACTTGGCGTCTCAGCGTCGACGTGGGGAGAACAACGCATGTCGATCCGAGATGTGTCGTGGCATGTTGCATATCCGTTGGGTTGATTCGCCAGTTGCTGCGTGGCCAGATAAAGACCGAGAAGGATATGGATGCAGCAATAGAGCGAGCGTACGAGTGGGTGCGCAGGCAGCCCGACATCATGAATCCAGATCCGTCAGCTGGCTTGACAGGAGATCAGGTTCGCAAGCATTTAGATCGTCAGGAGTTCGAGAAGCATGTGTATGCAGAGACCCTGAAGGAGCTTCGACTGGACGACCAGCTTAAGATGGGATACGTGTACAAATGCCTTGGCTCAGCTGTATTGTTACTGCGGCGTGCTGTACAGCGGATACCAACCGCGCCTGTAGCTGTGGGCATGGTGGCTAAGGCGCAGCTCTTCGAGGAGCTTATCGTTCAACTCATCATGGAGGGTGGCGACGCCGACACAAATGGAGCTGCTGCTGGCGCACTTCTTGGTGCGTATCTCGGGTACGCAAATCTGCCATCGCATTGGAAGCTGGGCTTAGCGCACAACGACTGGTTGATGGCCAAGACTGAGCGTCTGGCGATCGCAGTCGGAGTGAACAAAGGCACGTTACACAGCGAGAAAGACGAGGCAGCTAACGGTGGCAAGAAGTCCAAGAAGAGATTTTAATGGGCCTTCACACGATTGAGATACATGTAGTTGACAATGAAGTACTTCAAAGCGCACGCGCTATTGCATTGAGAGCCTTATTGCGTCCCCTTGTGCCTCGCTGTATCCACTCTAATCAATCTTATGCTCCCAGGATAGCTTTATTAGCTTGCGCGACCGCGTTGACCTCCTTGACGATCTCTGCCCAGTCGTATGGAAAGTAGGCGTACTGATCAGTCGCGCGGTCCGTATAGAAGAGGCTGTGGAATGCATCGCGGTCAAGACCCAAAACAGTACTGGTATCCCTCTGGATCTTGTCGGTAGCATTGCTTGCCGAGTGAATGATCATCGACGACTTGCTGTAGTATTTGCCGTTGCCGTTACGCACGCCAATATTGGGGATTTCTTCGTAGTTCTCTTGAGTGTCCTCGAGAATGATGATGACATCCGCAACATCGAAGTAGGCAAGATTGGTCGTATAGCCAGCATTGAAGAGCACCTCGCCACCGGTGGCACTAGTCAAGGTTGTCTTCGCGTGGTTTGTCAAGTCGGTCATATAGCTGAGACACTTGACACCATCATCCTCTACAGGAGCTTCGTCGATGAAAATGCTGTCAATGTGAATGTCTGGGTTGACAGTGCTCCATCCAGCACATCCCTTGGTAGCCCAGCTCGCATATGTTGTGATATTTGCCTTGACTTCTTCCGCTGGTGCAGTGCAAGAGCAGATCCAGTCGCCGTCTGGACCGCAGTCCCATTTGTTGGCGGTGTGTACATAGCCCATCGTGTGAATATTCGGGTATTTGTTCAGTGAGGCAATTGCCTCCACGTAGTCCTTGTTGGGGCAGCCATTGACATCCGGTGCTGGACCTGTCGAGGGATTGATGACCGCTGTGAAGGTGATATCGGGGTATTGCGAAGCTGCAGAGGTCAAAGGTTCCCAGGCGTTGTTGATAGGGTAGACGTAGAGCGGGAAGAGGAAGTTCGCGTACTGGACCATGTTGACAGAAAAAGTTGCGGCTTGTAAGCTTACTCTGGGAAAGTTGAGTGCGCGCTCATATAAGTAGGCAAAAGTTGGGGGCCAAAAGCACTGTGTGGAGCAGCAATACCGAATCCGGCGCGCTGAGTTTAGTCTGTACGATGGAAATACTCCTAAGCGATAAGAGGCTGCTGATCGGCGGTCGTTAGCTCGAGCCCTTCAAGAAGGTCCTCCACACGCCAAGTGCAGGCGAACGTCAGGCCAGCTGCTCATGACAAGCTGGGTCATCTTTTTCGACAGATGCATACAGTTGATGTTCAGGCGTGCCATATGTCAGTCGAAGGTGGCTGATGCTGCGAGCATATGGTGTTACATTGCCGGCACCAAAGACCGCGTGCAGTAGCTCGAGCTGCCATTCGAGCAAAATTGCCGTTTGTTCTCCGTACCTGCAGCTTGCTTCATTTTCAGATGGATATTGGAGAGCCGCGTAGAGTCAATGCGTTCCTACAGCAACAGCAAAGAAAGCAGCGGCGCGCGGCGTGCGAGGCCTGCGGAGATGCAGCTCGAAGAGTAGCTGGTATGGTGGTGGGCCGATTTCCTATCTCCTAGCCCAGCGTGCCATACCGCGGACCGAACCGTCTTCATTGATTCCGAATTGTGGCCCCATGATCGATCAGGGAATGGCCCGCCCAGGTTGCGGACGTCTGCAAGCAGGTGGGTCGAGCCAAGCATTGCTTCCAGATCGCTGTCTTTGGGGGCGAAAATGACGATGCTGCTAATTTGAGCCCCCGGAAGTCCCATATGACCGTAAGAGCACCGTTTCGATGTTGTGACCTGAAGTGACGTACAAATCGTAATGCCTCCCTAGGACGGCATATTTTCTCTGCGCACTCTGAATGTATTTTGCGCGAGTGTGCTTTCCAGCCAGAGAAGTGGGGCAGCAACACTAAGACGCTCCGAGACCTAGCGTTGAAGTTGAAGGCTCTGTCGGTGTAAGAATGTGAGCCGCCATGTTGGATGCACGTTTTTCGTGATTGATGCGAGAAATACCTGCTAGCATGTAAGTGTACCAAGGACCATACGATCTTGTGCAACACAGGTAGCGGACTCTGTGAAGCATGGCTGATCAGTACAATGGAACGATCAAGAATTGCTTCTACCTAGGTACGTGGTTGCCTCAAATCTACAAGATGTCGAGAGAAGTATCGAACAAGAGTTTATGTCATCTCATATGCCACCGATGTCTAGGTGGCCTCATCGCAATATACACAGTTCGTCGTAATGCTCAAGATCTGCCGCCAAGCTATCGTCGAGCAAATGGTGCCCAGTTTCTTC